TATCTATCTATCTATCTATCTATCTATCTATCTATCTATCTATCTATCTATCTATCTATCTATCTATCTATCTATCTATCTATCTATCTATCTATCTATCTATCTATCTATCTATCTATCAGTTTGTTTCTGATGGAGTGACATTAGTTCCTTTATGTCTAGTTCCTTTAGAACAGAGTCTCTCTCTCTGTCTACGAGCATGATTACAGGGTCTCCTGCCAGACTTCAAAAATAGGAAGCATCATCCCATAATGTTTCCTTTGTTTCTCATGATACAATATATCATATCCATCAACTAAAGTGCAAGTGCTATGCCACTGGAGAATTCTCAAGTAGGTCAAGGTGCTTTAATTGCCAGGATCCATACCACAATTCATCTAATCCAGAAGAAAAAAAATGCTGTTGCAGTTTGTTTTGGTTATAAACTTTTCTAATCTTTTTTCTGTTGAAAGGCTTTGCCAATGTAGGAATATTTAGGGGCTCAGCCCCTTTTAAAAAAATGTATGGACTTTTTTCTGCACACCCCTCTATTCTTGTTACCATCTTCTATTGCCATAATAGCAAACACAATACCATGAAGCCTATTATTTGAAGAAATCATTATTTTACTGTTTTATCCCCAACAGCACAATTTCTAATCTTATTTCCAGCAAGGAAATTTCCGGGCACTTAGAAATATTTAGAAAAGAGAACATTTTCCTCCTGAAAACCCCAGCTGCAGTCTATACTGGTACAGTTGAGACATAAGCCCTCTCCAGCCATTATCAGATCCAGTGCAGTTGGATGGGAGAATTTAGCCTCACCGCCCTCCATTGTCTCTTTCTCTAAACAAGCAGCTATAAGCCTGAAGAGCAGAGAGGTCCTGCTCCTATGTAGACTCTACACTGGAGCAACAAACCCTGGAAAGGCCGGCTCTTTGCTCACCTGTAGGAACTACGCCTAACTCTCCTCTTTGGACTCATTTTCATTTGTGTGGAGAAAGCTTGATTTGTTTACTTCATTATACTACGTATGAGGGAAAGTGGTAGTTGCCATTAGTGGAAATTCATAACTAAAAATAAGACTCTTCTACTGTCTCCCTCATTGTAAATAGTGCCTAGCCCTAGGCATTGTCAGGATTTCAGGGGGGAAATGGCAATGGTTGCAACCAACATCCCTCCAGGTATTTCCTTTGAAGGGGAACTCATGCAGAAGAGGGTTTGCAGGAAGTGAATACTGGGAGGGCTACCACATTTCTTCACCAGACTTTTTTTATACATGGCTTTGTTTGCTGGGTTCTCCTTTATGAGCTATTTGCTGCACTGACAAGAAGAAAGGGGCAAGCATCAAACATGCATGCACACATTTAGGTCTCTCTTACAGTCCCTAGCATTGCAGCATCAGCTGCCAAGTACAAAGTGCCTCTTATATGTTCTTATAAGCACATTTAAAAGAAAATACTGTAATGTGACGCCCAAAGCTTAGACCTCACTCCCTCTTATCCTGACAAACATATGTAAGAACCGGGCCTGTGCACTGCCTGCTCCCCATCAGTCCGTTTCCCAATAAGGGTGACATACATTAGGACGTGATTTGTCTTGTGGCAATTTGGAGGATAGTCCTCCTAACTGATCCATGTCTGTGTCCATAATTTTTGTTTTATAGATCTTCAGGAGAAAATGTCATTCCCATGAATGAGGAAACAAAAACAACTGTAACGTGGGGTGTGTAATTCCAACTGAATTATTTCCAGCACAGTTAATAGTCCACTCCCAGCTCAGAGAACAAAAAGAGAAAGAGGAGATGGTTATTATGGCCATTAGCTGTGGCCCAATGGCACCTAGAAAAGAAAACTAAATAGAGTGCAGGGGAAAACAAAAACCGTAACATTCTAATGTGAAGTTTCATTGCTCAGCTAATTATGCAAAACTCATACAAGAATGCAGGCATTCGTCTGCACACCCTTGCACACTCAATCCTAGTACTGTAAGAAGTTACAAATAGCTAAGTTGATGACTAAGTTAACAAGAATAATAAAAAATAAAGCGATTTTGAGTGCCCAGACAATACATTTACACCAATGCAAATCTCTGCACTGGCACTAAGCCAAATGCTATAGAGAGCAAAGGAATATTTACAGCCTGTTGACTTCATTCAGAGCCACTCTCCATCACTTCAGTGGGCAGAGTATACCGAAAAGATCATGGGCTTCACTGGGAAGCAAAGCTGTTAGTCACTTTCTGCATTGGCACCAGCTCATTTATAAGGTACTGATCTTTCTGATTTCCCGTTGGCCACTTTTATTTACATGGCAACTTTTCAATCATTTTAAACTGAATGAATGCTGGGTTTAACATAAAGGAACCATAGGTGGTATTGTTTTGCCCCATGGTTACCAGAGAAATAGACAAATCATCCCAA